GGGCTGGGGAAGGTTGGAGGAAACCCACCCAGGTCGTGATCCAGGCCGGAACCTGGGGCCTGGGAGCTGGTTCTGGGGCAGGCTGGGCCCATGCGCCTGCCCTGCGGCCCCCAGCCCTGTGGGGCGGGCTGTGGCAGCTGCTGCTGACAGATGCCTCCACTTCCTGTGGGATTAAGAATGGGGCCCTGGGGGTGGGGGTGTCACAGATCTGCTCTGACAGGGGCTCAGGGATGAGGGAAAGGCTGTGTCCTGGGCAGGGGAGGCCCAGCTCTCCTGGGCAGGGGGACGAGGTGTGGCCTGGACGCTGGACTTCAGGGCCAGCCCCGCCAATGTCCAGATGCCCCCCCCCCCATTGCCCACATCCCATGAGGCCCACCGCTGGGGCCATCTTTGCAGGACAGGATGTTGGGGGGATGCCCACCCCTGCCTGGGGCCCACTGCGACGGTCCGGACCTCAGGGGAGTCTGGGGCAGGAGGGCCTCAGTGCCCTGCACGCACTGAGCTGGGCGCCTTCTCCGGAGGCTGGGCCTGCACCCCTAGGGCTCTGTCTCCCCGCCCAGCGCCGGGGCACACAGTGGTGGGCTGGGCGCCCCGACCCAGTGTCAGCAGCCCCCAGGCCTCCTTGGGGTAGGAGGTGAGCCACAGGGTCCTCCATGTTCAATGGATTGAGGCTTTCCTTGCCGAGGGTTGGATGTCTGGGTGTGAGGGGCCTCTGAGCATGCTCTGCAGTGTCCTCCGTGGGGCCCGCCAGCAGCTACTTGTCCCCTGAGCGTGCTGGGGACTGGGAGACGTCAAGGGCCTGCCCTGGGGTAGGGGCTGGTTTGGGGGGTGGGTAAGGAGGAAGGCAAGTGGGGGTCCTGGCAGAAGGGCTTCACATGCAGGGCTTCTGGGCTATGCCCGGTCCCCAGGGTGCTGGGGAGCCATGGAAGGTGGTGGACAGTGAGCAGCCTGCTCAGACTTGCATTTTGGAGCCGAGGGGGGCTGTGGGGAGCAGGATTGCGGTGGGGCTGGAGTGCAGATCAGGCTGTTGTCCCTGGGGGCCTCCCGGGGCTGAACAGACAGCAAGGCCCGGTGGTGAGCCGGGCCACTTGCCTGCAGTCCCAGGTGACAAGTCCCAGGCCCCCGCCTGAGGTCAGGCTGCGAAATGACTGAGGGAGGGAGGAGGCGGTGCCCGGCCTGGCCGGGCATGTTCAGAGGCCACGCCCGTCTCTTCAGAGCCGGAGGAAGCAGACTGGAAACCCCACAGACGGGCTTCCATCAAAGGCAGCCCGTGCCGCCGGCGGAAACGGGCCATCAGGAAGGGTCTGAGGGAGATAAGGGGATGGAGGGCAGAGGAAGCAGCTGGGCGAGGTCAGTGAGGGGCCCTCCTGGAGGTGGGGCGTGAAGGCCGCGGTCCTGCTCCCTCCCCATGTGCCGGACGTCTCCCAGGGCAGCCGCCGCCGCCGACCTGGGCCCCCCTGACTCCCCAGACATCCCCCCTTGATTCCCTTCTCCCCCTGTGCCCATTATGGGCCTGGGATCCAGACTGGCCCGTGCACCGCCCTGTCTCGCAGCCAGCAGTCCCTACGCTGCCCACTCCTGCCCCCCACCAGCTGGTCAGGCCGCTGCCCTTGGCGCTGGCCTCCCTCCTGGGCACCGTACCCCTTCTGGCCGGCACCCATTGCGAATGGAACCCTCATGCTCTCGGGTCGAGGGCCCTTGGGCGTGGGATTGGGCTGCCTCCGCACCTGCTGCCCCCAGCGTGGTGTCCTGC